TTTTGGTCCTAAAAATATAAAGTTTATTTTATATGAATCAAAAATATCTGTTTACCTCTTTATCATCCTTTTATTCATATTTGTTTTCGGAATAAAAATAAGTATTAATTGGTAAATTAATTGTTCAGTGTATATTTCTGTAATTTGACCTCATCACATATTTGTTTAGTTTAAAAAGTAATTAAAGGTTATTAGAGAATTTGATAAGATGAATTAGAATATTATTAGACAAAAATCTTCGAGGAAGTCATATAATTGCATTAAAACTTACAAATCTGTGACATGTTCACACAGCTATACCTTAAATTTGAAATTTGTGACAACACATTCCTAGTAAGCTCTTGTAATCTAAGTATTCTTTTTATGAGAGAAAAAAAGAAAGAAAGATAAAAGGAAATCAATGTTCATTTGTACTTTAAAAATCTTTGTAAACAACTTTTCATTTTGGATTGTTAGCAAAAGAACATTTTCAACATATAAGTTTATTAAAATAACGTGATTTTAAGTGATTTGGACTATTTTAAAAGACTAAGTGAATGTGGGCGTAAAAACCTTGTGAAGCAATGTACTCTTGATCTCTTTCAGCGCCCTAAAATGAAAAAAAAAAGTTAGAGTACATATTGTGTTCGAATTAACATAAAAAATATAAGCTCTTAATTCAAATACCATAAACAATTAGTAAGATTAGTAATCTAAGAATTTTTTCATGTTTTGTCAAAAATGAAGATTACACAATGAAAATTTAAATGCACTTTTTTAAAGAATTGGAAAGCGTAAAAAATAGTAATGATATTGATTGGTTTTAGTTGTTTTACGGCGAGTCATCAATTATTTCAGCCATGTTTCTGCAATAAAACTGTTCTTACCTCTATATAATTAGCGTTTATATAGTCAGATCCAGTATCAGTCTTTAAAATTACTCTTGAATGGTCATCTAAAAAAATGACATGAGCTATTTTTCTTTTGTAACACATGGATTACATCTAAGTAGTTAATGCGTAAATTAATATTAATGTAAAACAAAATCAAACAAGCCTTACAAGGAAATGTGGTCTTATATCTATTTTAGGAATATTTTCGCTCCTTTTTCCAACGTCACATTTCTGAATTTCGCCGTAAGGTAACGTCTGAAATACAAGAATTTCTTTTTTTTACACGCAATAAAACATTCTCTCAAAAAAGTTTTAAGTTCTAAATATATCAATACAACCATAAGAAATTGCCTTTGTTTATTCATTTTACATTTAGTTTAACTATGTTGATTGTACACTATCAAAGTAAAACTCAAAATTAATTTTGTTTATGTACCTTGACTTCATGAGAATATGATTTACCTATTATTATATAGTTTAAACTTGCAGCTTGAAAGGATCATGATATGAAAAGTATAAACACTTTTCCCCTAACTAATATAGATGCAGTGTATCATTTTAAAATATTTCTAACAAAAGTAATTTTTGTTGTGTACAAGACTTTTTTTTATCAGTTTAGAGAATCACAAATTAAAATTTTAATTTTTGAAGCTTATAGAAGTTTTCTATGCAAACACTCGATCTGAATGCGTACTGTATAAATCGAAGAACTTACTGCATATTCTTTCTGGAATCCGTCATTGTCATCTTTGCTTTTCTCAGAAATGATGCGCTCTAACTGACTCAGTGGAATGTCCGATGAGATGCTGTAATTCGTGTACATTTCACCATATGGGTTTTCTGCGTGTATTAGCTCATCTTCATCAATCTCAACAGCGTTTACATCATTTTTATTTAACAGAGAATTTTGATCTTTTGTTTTCTTCGAAATTTTATTTTTTTCGGGAGTGGAGGACGATGGATCATTGTCTTTGTTATCACCATCTCCATTTTTATCTTAAAGCACAATTATTTTAATTACATATTTTTTTCTTAAGTACATAATGAAAAATAAGCACTAGATAGAGGAAAAATAATAAATATGTATCTCACAGTGGCGTGTCCCTTTTAGCTGCTGTTTGCCGTCCATACCTTTTAGTACATGACGTCTGATTTGTATGTTAAGAATAAGAAAAGAAAAATGATGTTAAAATTGAAGAAATTAATGAATTAGATGGCTTAAATCTAATATTGGTTCATGCAAAATTAAAAAACAAACAAACAAACAAACATACAGTGCTGCTATCCTATAAGTTGACAATTCTATCCTATCCTATCGTGAATCCTGCATCCACAACCCAGTTATCCTATCCTGTGATATCAGTCTAATCCTATCCTATCCTGCAGCTCTCAGTTTTTTTAATATTTAGGAATTCATTAGACAAAACGAAAAAAGGAATAACCAGGGATAAAATCAGATTTTAAATGTTATATATTTTAATGGAGAAAAATAATCAAGATCGGCATTCCATAAATCCCGACTCACCGCACAAATTAAATTTACGATTAAAATTGATTGATGTTAAAAAATAATGTAAACGAACTTGCGAACATATGTAAAGAAATTGGGCTTCCGGAAGAATTAAAGAAAACATATAATTAGATTTTGTTTTAATTTTCCTACTAACAATGATCAGGAGACACGGGATCGCGACTTGCTTCCGGCGTGTTATAATTAATTATTTTTAAAAATCATAGGCCTAAACGGTAATAATGTTTAAGTATATGTTTCATGTAAAATTTTATTTAATTTTTCCTAGACTGAGCAACATGAAAATAACATGCATATGTACATGTATAGTCTAACTGTGCCTGTATAACAGATTTTTCTGTATGCAATTTTAAAAAAAGAAGATATGACTAGACCATAAACCAAACAGACAAGTCAAAATGTAGATCTAGAATATCTTGACTATAACATATTAAACATTTTAAATGTGAAATTCTTATGATTTTTTAATTCAAATTCATAATTTATTTCAGTTCATCATCTGTTGTATGTGATATTTTTCAAACATGCAAAATAATTCAAGATAATCAAAATGTTCATTTTTTTCATTTAACTTCAGTTTCTTCTCAGTTCATGGTCAGCTCAGTGCGGTACAAATTTATTTCAATTTCCAATTTTGTTTTATGTGTGAAAACTTATTAATTTATGTTTAATAGAATATATTTTCTAAATTGTTATTTTCTGACAGATTGACAGTAATAAATACTGTAGTGAGGTCACACATGTTCCTTAGATCTTATAAAACATGCATAAGAAATTAAAAATTCACAGTATTTACAGTATTTTTAACTCATTCTTGAGTAAGCCATGTTTGTATTTGACCTTGGCATTTGATCTTGAATGTTAATCAGTGTCTGATTGAGAAATATTAAAATGCTCCACACATGTTCCTTAGATCTTATTAAACATGCATAAGAATTCACAGTATTTACAGCATTTATAACACATTCTTGAGTAAACCTTGTATTTGACCTTGACATTTGATCTTAAAATTTCAGTGTTTAAATGAGAAAAAATACTTTATGAAGTTCACAATATTTTTATTCAAGTTGATTCCTCAACAATGTTTAACAACTGAATATTCCATTACTATTAGACAGATTCATTAAATGTATCCATGTACAGCATACATAAATTTTAATGCAAAGATCACAGATACATGGACATGAACTGTGTTTAAATTTAAGTTTATCAATGTTTTTATTACAGTTCTATAATGTTTTACATGCATATGATTTGGCTTCCTTATCCGTCACTCAAATTGAAATTCAAATGTCAGAGTTATTGTCAGAGAGATGGTCATAAACTGAACAGTTCCATAAATGTCAACAATGCACAGAAAACAAACACTGTAAGTTCTCTTTTATAAAAGCACCATAATTTCAGACTTGGAACTCTTTGACACTGGTTTGAACATCTTTCATCTTTTACTCTAAGAGCATATGGCATGGTCTGCATTCTTACAGCTGCAAATGTGCAGGATTTCCTGAAAAAAACATTATAGGCATGTAGATTGTAAATTTTGTCATACACATTTAAAATTTTAAATGTTTTTGATTGTACAATTGGCTTTAATTTCACCTTTTTCTCTCCTAAATGTAATACATTTAGGAATCATGAAAAATAAAATCTTATACTTCAACCTCAGTCATATAAAATAAAAAAAAATCTTTTTTAACATAATTTACTTGTACATTATAATTCATTTTACCTTGTCAACTTGCTAACAAGTATGAATACTTTTGTTTTAGTGACTTTTCTCTACTTTCTGCTTGTATTTATCTCTATTTAATGTCTTTTCTTGGTTTTCTTTTTTTGATCTTGAAACTTGAATATCAAAAAGAAGAAAATATCTATGTAACAACAACATGATGACCATGCAGAAAAATTCAACATTTCTTTCAGTTTTACTCTCAAGATTTTTGAAAGAAGAAAGTCACTTGTTCAGAGATGTCACCTCAACTCAGATAATGGTGTATTTTAAAGACGATTTCTATAATTTTTTTTCCGAATTTATTTTTTTTCTTTTTTACATATTTCCTTCCTTAGAGTATGCTTTATGCAAATATAAAAAGAAAAGGTATGGTTATCAGATTAGTTTTTTTGTTGTGAAGAATTTTTAAAACTGACCGTTAATCAATTATTGAGTGAAATTCTGACCATTTTTCAATTACACACTATCTTAAAAATATACTACTTTTTATATATTTATCAGAGTTCTAACTTTTTCATTTTATCATACAAGTCAGTATACACTACAAACAAGATGTTGAATTCAGATATTGATTGAATATAAGAAAAAACACAAACAGAATATCATTTTTCAAATTATCATTTATCTAACCAAATGTACATTGTTTTCGCATAATTTATACAATTTACGCATTAAAAAGTCAATAAAAAAAGTTTGACGAATTTATTTTTTTTTAAATTCATACATATTGTACATTTAAGTATACTGATAATAATGATATAAAGAAAAATGGGGGTCATCATATTCATTTAGTAAATAAAACAACATTTGCTAGCACGATGTTAGACGTTTTTCAATGTCAGAGGTTGTAAAATATGCATCAACATAAGAAAAACATACATTTTTTCTTAGATTTTGATTTCAATTACAAAAAAACCCCAATGCAACATATTACATCTGAAATTCCTCTTTAAGGGGTCCTGACCCTCTCCTCTAAATTTCACTATGGAAATTTTAAATTTCTAATATTGATTTTCATGAACACAACAATGACTTTAAAACCAAATACAAAACCTTATACAACGTGGTATAATGCAGGTTACATACAGGGTTTTGTTTTTCTTATTTACAAATTTACATTAGATCTATGATGAATTTGTGAAAAATTTAAAAAAGAAGTTATCCTTCTTAGCAGAGGGATAATGTCCCTTAAATGCTGAAATTAAAAAACTACAGAAATATTATTTACTTTTCTAATTGGTATGGCCATATATACATTCAAATGTTTACAGCTATACAGAGCTTGTAAAACTAAGATGCAAAAAAACTATACATGTACAAATACAGCCAATTAAACGTCTAATGTCTATTGTTACATTCAGCTAAAATTTGTTTTGCCTTACTGTTTGTCTTCAAAATACTTATTTACTTTTTCAAGTAAACATTTTTTTGATGTTACTCGAGGTTTCCCATCGAATTTTTCAGACAAGAGTGTTTTTAAACCACCTCTGGTGTGAGCAAGTTTTAGATGACCTAAGTTTAATCCACTTTCAGCAATCTTTTTACACATTTGCTTTGAAAGTATCTTATCATTGCATAAAACTAACAAGGTGTTTAAGTTTTTATCTACAATTTTGTCAAAAAGGTACTTCTCAACCAAGGTATGCATACTTGAACTGTGGCGTACAAGAACTTCAGTGCACGGTTTTACATGTTGAACAAGTTTTTGAAGAACAAGAACATCATCCTCAGCATTGTGAGCTGCATAGTTTTCATTTAAAAAATATGTAACAAGAAACTCTTGTGAATATTTTTCCAGACCAGGATAAACTTCTCTAAACAGAAGTAGTGTGTCTACTACACCTAATACAACTGGTTCTAAAGCATGAAGAAAATGACAAATTTCAAAATTTCGTAAGACCCTAGGTAAATCAAACCTCAAGAAATTATGTCCTACAAAAATACAAGGCTTTTGATCATCTAACCATGCCAGAAATGATGCCAATGCAAGTTGCAATGAAACGGATGTTACAGGAGTACCATTCAAATGCAAAACATTTCCATGAACAGTCAGTCCAGTGACTTGAGAAGCTGCTGTTGAAATTCGTTGACTAGGTAAGATGTATTTCGAAAACTTGCCATTTTCTGAAACAGCCGCAATCTGAATGATATCACACGTTTTATTAAGAGATGTTGTTTCGATGTCACAATACACAAAGGTATATTTCTTTGGTAATATACATGGAGTGACAGTTGGTACAATGCTTGGAGCAGGTATTTCTTTGACAAACTCGCCGTCAGATTGTGTCAAATCAACAGATGACTGATAAGTTACTCCTTCCCGAATTTGAGAAGCGGAATTCATGGTACTGTTTTTTAATTTTCTTTCAAGTTTTCTTTTTTTGAATTCTCTTGTATTTTCATACGCGAGTCTGCGTTTGCGCGTTTTGTCTTTTTTTTCTGCAAGTTTTTGAAAAACTCGTCCAGGCGAAACACCCACCAGTTCGTTAACTTTGTTGACGTATGTTGAGCCCATGTTTTTCTCTGCTACTGCACAACTAACTCTATTTTGCAAACTAGATGATGAAGAATAGTGCAGTCTTTTGGGGGCTTTTGCAGCAATTGAATTATTGAATGATTCAACATCTCTAGTAGATGCAGCAGGGGAAATCTTGTGAGCATTATTGATAAATGTTTCAAATATAATGTTCAGGTCATTTTTTAATTCATCACCCTGTAGATCTTTTCCAGATGGAAGGGACTTGTGGCGGAACTCTTCAGGATTAGTTTTATAAGTACACCATTTTGAGTCACACTGGTCATGCTCTCCAAAAGCATGTGGCACTATTTGCTTTAGGTTTTTCTTTAATGCTTCTGTATCATTTTTATTTTGTACAATAGCGTAA